AAATCCACTTTAATGTAGAGAAGTTATGTTCACAAACTGCTTGAGATGGAGATATTGCATAAAGATGTAAGGCTAATTCTTGCAATTGGTCATTGTTTTTATCTGTATTAATACTTGACCACCACATAGTTGGATTTTCCTTTTCTTTATTATAGGACAAATGGTATCAATATCAATTATTTAACAAACGTGGCTTAACATTGTGGGTTGTACGATGGACTATGTAGATCAAAACTAATTAACATCATATATAAAATTTACTAATAAACTTTTTTTCAACAATTATAAAAATAAAAATTTCATCTTCTTATTCAAAAAAAAAGATACAACTACAAAATTAAGAAATATTATATATAACAAATTTAATGGTCCACATGGTGACAGAGAGTTTTTTTTAATTTTATTAGTAAAATCATCCAAAATGTTAAAAAATACTGTTAAACTTTGAAATGTATAGGCTCAATAACCAAACAAGTTAGAATAAAAAAATTTCCAGTTTTTTCTCTGTGATTCAAAGAATAGCCTGACAGAGTTTTTTTAAAAATTATTAAAGGATTAAAGATGTACATTTTTATTAATAAAAATTTTTCAGTAATCATTTCCTTTAAAGAAAACATAAAGTATCTTTCATAATAATAAGAATCGTAAGAAAAAGTCTTCATGTTTAATAAAATACCAAAGCCCAATAAAAGAAAAAGTCTAATTCATAGTACATGTGCAGTCAAAAAAATGAAAACTAATTCCTCAGAACCTTTACTCCTTGTAGAATTCTCACTAACAAAAAACGGAATAATTCAATTTTTTGCAAATCAGATAATAATCAATTGATAATTTTAATGTTAAGATGGGATTCGTTAATTTTAATACTAATCAAAACTGTCAAACAAAGCACATTGTATTTTTTAATTGTGAAGATTCTCACTAACAAAAAACGGAATAATTCAATTTTTTGCAAACCATATAATGCCTTTTTTAACAATAATAATTCAATTGTTAATTTTATAAACTGTCGAACAAATTTTTAATGTACGATTAACAAGAAAACTTGCTATAATTAATAGTAATTTTATTAACTGTCCTTTTTAAGATATTACATAAGGACAGGAGTAGCGCAGTAAACCTGTCCCCTGTCCTTTTTAATGTTTTCAAGAAAATTACTATCCCGCAACCTGTCCTTTCATAGATTTCGGGAGTAATTATTGAAAAGGACAGGGGACAGGGCATCTGCCACAATTCCTGTCCCCTGTCATTTTCACGTGACCCAAAAGGAAAAATAAATTGTTTTTCCAAAAAAAAAAAAAACAATCAATTCGCATCTGTCCTCCCCCAAAAAAAAACAACAGCAAACAGGATAGAAGAAAAAGAAGCAGAGAAACTGATCAAGAAAACATCGCTGGGTAAGTGTTTTAAGAATAAGGATGGTGGTGGTGGTTATCGCCTGCCACTTGTCGTTACTCTAGTTATTTTTTAAAAAGAATATGGTGGTTGCAGCGCGTTGCAATTCGTAGTCATTCTTTGATTAATCAAAACAAATTTCTCTCTTTTTTTAAAAATGTCTTCATTAATAAAATCCAAAAAGAAAAAAACAAAAAAACAAGGATAAAAAGAATGAGTAAGTATCATCTTTTATGAGCCATTCTAGTTCATTTACAATTAGATTAAAGTTTTGATATTAATTATCCTCACCTTCTTCGCCCTTGCCTAGTTCATATCATGTAAGTAAATGATGTTATCTTTATATAAAAGATTGATTATTCTACTTAAAATTTCTTAATATAATACCAAAATTACTAACATTAATTTAATTTCTGAATAACAACAAGTTATTAACGAAAGGAAACAAGGATTTTGTATGTTTATTATGTATGATGTTAGAGTGTTTTTGGTATCATTTACATGAATTAATTTAATTGATTTTTTTTGATTAGATGGTGTAGAATTGGAAGCTTTTGAAGAAGAGAACTTGTCATTTTGGTTTACAATAAATATAATAGATTACATCAAAACTGGTGAATTCGAAGCCAATGGGTATGATCATAAATTGCTTTATCTCTTTTGTCATTTTTTTTATAAGAAATGGTTTTAAAAATCAACATCAGGATAATGTTATTGAAAGTGCCTTTAATAATTGCATAATGAAATTAAAGAACAGAGATAATGATTATAAAGAAGCCCAATTTATTGAAGATATCAGCAAAAAAGATTTATTGGTAAGTACCTATTTTATTACTTATCATATAAAATGGTGAGAAACCCTTTTCATGGAAGGCCCCATTGACATGTTATCAATTTCCCTTTTCCATGGAAAGACTTGTAATGAAAAACTTGCTAAAATATTTATGCTCTTAATTTAATTACAAATTTTGGTTTATTGATAATATTCTTTTAGCAAACACTTGACCATTTTTCTACTTCTTACGCTGCCACCACTACCGCTGCTACTGCTCCCACCATCACCACTACTGTCGCTACTGCTCCCACCACCACTTGTTCTCATTCTCGTACACCCTCTCCTTCTCGCACTTGTGCTCACCGGTCAGTAACAATTCGAGATGAATTAAATGAACATTTGGAGCGAATAGCAGTGATAGAAAGACAAGTCCAACAACAACATCGACAATCAATATTGGAGCACCAACAACAAAACCATTTTTATGTTTCTGTTTGCTTTTTATCATTATAACATTAATGATTTTATTTTTAATATGTTTAACATTAATACTTAAATGATTTGGAATGTTTAAACTCACACCCTTGTTGAAAGGGATTTTTGCAATCGACCTGTAACCCATGGCCACATAATTTGTACTCAATGGGTATCACAAATTCACAATTGTGCAAGTAATAAACACAATAGATAATTTCCTCATCATTTTTTAGAACTTTAAAAAGATGTCTTATTATCTGTTAATTTATAAAAGTTGCAACTGAGATCTACATAATTACGGTCGAAATATATAATTGCAACTGAAAAACAATTGTCAATAATCTAATTGATACATTCCAGGAATAACTAATACCACAAGGTAAAACAGTTTGTTTAGAGATCCAGAACCATGGTGACAAATCAAATTTAAGCCCGATTTTTATCATCAATGCTTCATGTAATAATCTAAAGAAGAAATCAATAAAATAAATTTATGTTCTTTATTCACTGAATTGGAATCTAAAGAAGTGATTAAATCAATATAAATCCAAGGTGTTTTTACCAAGCCATACTAATAATAAAAATATCTCTATAATAATAAAAACAAAATTATACACATAAAACGTAATCAAATTTTTTAAATATATACACAAAATCATAATCAAACATTTTAAATCACACATACATACAAAACGTGATCAAACAAATTATTTCTTTTAATTCTATATAGAAATATAAAATAAAACTTACGGTGTCTCCTAAAAAACAAAGTAGTCATTTAAAAAAAATAAAGGAATCTAAAGCACAAAATTTTAAAAATGACCTTGATGTAAATAGTGATGATGATTCTGAAACAATAATTGGCTCAGATGAAGAATTATCATCTGACGATGAATTAAATGATGAAATTTGGTATGATAACACTTTTGAGGATGATTTTAACTCAATTTTACCTTCGGTTTTTGATAAAATGATGGCAGCAAGTGCAAGTGCAAGTTCTAATCTAAAAAGACCTTCTGTTTACATGGGTAATGCAGCATCCACAATTAGGCGAAAAAATGCTGCATTTAAAGTTGCTGCTGCAAATACCAATCCATTGACATCATTTTTTCCAAAAAAAAAATTTGATTAATTGAAAGATAACCATCAATTAATTAATATTAACAAGCTTAAAAATGAAGTTTTATTAAAATTCCATGTTTGACAATGACTTTAATACAATTGCATTTTCTCTTCTATACAAGTCTTCTAAATCAACTCAAACATAAATTTTTGAAGATTTATTTGTCGCTAGAAATTTCATGGAGCAGTTTCATTTTCATTTCCGGAAACTTCATATTTAATGTTAAGATCTTTACACATATATTCCACCACCTGACTCCATTCATTTCCTAAATCGGATTTACTCCACTCTACGACATCTCCTCGTGCATTGACACTATGTATTCTTTCAGACACCCATTTGTATAATGTATGCATTTCTCCTGCCACAAAGTTTACATCAATAGTAATAGTTTGATTTTGACGATGCTTCCAAAATTTCTGAAAAGTTTCTAATAGTTTGGGATTCTTTTCAAGATATTTCTTCCACCTTTCTTTTCGGTTTCCACGAATATTCATCATCCTTTCTTCCCAACGTTCTAGAAATCAGTTACAAATCCAAAAAAATGAATAAGCAAATAAAATGTCAATAGTAGAAGTAAACAATTTTTTACTAACCCAAAACACCTCTAACATGCACAGATCCTTTTATTCTCAAATAGTCCAATTCTGTCCGACCCTGAAGAAATAATATTCGAGATTAATTGTTAAAAAGCAACGTTAAGCAATTCCAAGCAAAACCCACCATACGCTCTCTAAATATCTCTAAATCTTTTGTAAGTACAATTATTTCTTTTTCCTTTCCTTTTACAATTATTTCTTTTTCCTTTTCTTTTGCAATTATTTCTTTTTCCTTTTCTTTTGCAATTATTTCTTTTCTCATAATTTCACATTCCAGGTGACGAAACTTCTTAAACAATACCATCTGTTTGGGAGCTTCGAGTGATTTAAAAACATCATTAATATCCTCCTCATCTTCAGGTATATTTTTTTCGATATATAAACGTTTGCTTAATACTGAGAAAAAGCTTTTGTTTGCCATAGAGAAAAGGGATTTGTTAACTATGGGGAAAAAAAGCTTTTTCGATGTAGGTTCATGGAGTTAAGATTTAAAATTTTGTATTGGGTATTAGAGAATACGTTTTTGACAAAAACATTAAAAGCCGTAATGAGCAAAAAAATGACATTATTTGGACCAAGACAATAGTCTATTTTATTAAATTCAAAACATATAAATATGACAGCTGTTCCTGCATTTTTTTCGTAACACCAACGTAGAGAGAGATATTTCTCTCGGGCCATTTCGGCACAAGATAAAATTCAAGTTTACGAATGTGCACACTATGTGAGCACATTCAAACTATGCTTCGCATTCGGTGCTAATTTTGATGCTCTGGACGATATTAATATGTCACCATAAATATCCGACCACCGGAGTCGTGTAACGTCAAATGAAAAGAGTCCGTACTAAAAAGCAACGTTTTCTCAAATAAAACCTTTCTTACTTTACTAAGTAGATTTGTACTTGATATCAAAATCTCCAAATTACAAAAGCTTCGAAAGGTTTGATATATTATTAATGGAAACATTTAGCAAATAGTTCAAAAAACCAAATTTTCAATCGGAATCTTTACATGTAATATAGGTCAAATTTCTTAGTTGTAATGTATATTATTACTTCATTAATAAAACGTGCTCAACGTAATGGGCTACAATAGAGTGTCAGCATAAATTAGTTCGTGAAAGGGGTTTAAAAAAGTATCCGACCACCCCGTAATTTTATTATATAAAACACTTAATAAAGTTGACAAAATGCAAATTTTAAGGTTTTACGTTTTGTTGTCTATACTTGATCAATTTTTAACCATATATAATTCAAAATATTTTAAGCAGACTTAATGACATAATCCATGATTCAACAGAGTTTTACTAAGCTCAAAGTCACGAAATTTTTTGTCTAATTTAAAATTTTCATCCTAAATTCATTAATAATGCAAACTTGACGTGACTTTGAATTTATATTCGAATTAACTTTAAAATCATGTTTACTTAATGTACCAGTTCCGGTTTGATCAATAAAATTTTGAACTGCGTGAGTTATAAGTTTCCCAATTATTAAAATGATCATCACGTGGTCGGATCTTTATGTTAGATGAGTGATGTCGTGTGATTTTATGACACCAGAACATCATCGCGTCATAATGCTAATCTGTATTTCACGAAACTCACTGTTACGTTTTCGTTTAAAAAATTGTTATTTATCAAAACTCCTCCAATTGTTAATGATTTCATTTATAAAATAGTAAATGGAAATAAATTTTGGTTTATAAAAAAAAATATTTTTTTTTTTATTTGTATTAATTAGATCCTCACAACTTGCATATATAGGATTGGAAGACGTATTAATAACGGATATTTTTTTTAAAATCCAACGATCCGTTATAGAGAGGGTGAACTGTATTGGATAAACTAGTAACAGCATATTTTGAAGAACAAGAGAATCTATATCAAATCAAGCAAGTAATTTACTAATGATTATAACAAAAATTAATTTGACATGAACTCTTAATTATAATTAGCACATTAAACATCGTTAGACAATTTTAACAAAATTTGAGGAAGCACTCACAACAATAATCCTGATAGAAGAGTAACTTTGAACAATTGCAAGTATTAAATATACAATTTTTTCTCCTATTTCATTACTATTACATTTTTAGCTAGCGTGAGATGATAGCTCATTCATTGTGTTACAAAAAATTTAATAGCAATAACAATAGTGGTTGTATATATCCCGCCGAATGAAAATTAATTAATCAGTTCATATGACTTATTTTCAAACGCGTTTTTTTAGTATTAAATATTTTTTTTTGTGTAGTGTTTTGTTGTACAAGCCCTTTTAAAAAAAGAAATAAAGCTCTGCCGCGTATTTAGATGAAGAATCTAAGACAAGGAAGATTAATAAAACATATTTAATTTTATTAAAAGTATTATTGAAGATAATTTACAACGAGCTATTACTGGGTTTAGTATGCATATATACTTAATCATATATTGAAAAAAAGGTTATCGTTTCTAAATCAAAAGAAGTAACAGATGAACTTGCTAGGATGTTAAAAGATGGTGTTATTAAACAAAGTTATCATAGTAAATATTCTTTTTCATATGCTTCACTTCTTCATATGATTCACAAAAGGTACATTTTACGTCAACTTCTTCCTCAACAACAACATCACTGTCACCATTTACAATACAAGTGATAGAGGTCATTCGAAGCTTATCAAGTGAAGAAAATATTTATTAACTTTAAACATTAATAATATATGATCGATCTAATATTTCATGAAAATAGGCCATCCAATCATTGGATCAAATTCTCAATTAAAGATAAAGGAACGATGACAGTATTATTTGTTCAACAGCATTGAGACTACATCATAATCATCAATCATGTAAATTCTTCTTCTAAATAGTTGATCTTGGTATACAGGATCAGGATGTATTTTGATCTCAATATCATCTTAGATAATCAGCAACAGCTAATTTAGTAGTAAATATTAATTTAGATGCTTTAAATGTTGCTAAAGAAAATTCTAAATCTTTTAATTGATAGTACCAAAAATAACGGAATATTTCCAAGGTCACAATACTTATTAGTTTGTAACCCACATTTCTTGATATCTTATGACCTTAGTGATAATGAACGTTTCTAGAACCATCTGGAGCTTTAGGAATCAGGATTTAAAATGAATTGACGACTTCATCAATCTATTGAATTGTCATTTGAAAAAAAATACTTTCAATGATATTCCAAGGATAGAAACGTATAAAGTAGACAATGAAAGTTGCTTGGTAAGTTTTTTCTTTAATTATATGTTTAATGGTCATGTGATATTATGTAATTTGAATTTAATTATTTTCTTTTTTTTTTCAAGCAACAGGTCACAATTTTGGTTAGTGGACCATCCGATCAACCCATTTCAAGAATGGCACGATCATAAAAATGTTTCACTTGGGCGAAAAAAATTTTCTTACTTTTTTCCCACAAAAAATTCAATGTTCTCTCTTCTCTATATCATCAACAAAAAAATCGTTACAAATAACAAACAACCGTTTATTTCGTGAATTTGGTGATTTAGTATTTATTTAGGAAAAAAATGGGACATACAATTAGGATGTTTACAATACTCTTTATATCAATGGACTTAAAAAAACTACTTAGAATTTCGGCTATTGAGTTGCAGTGTTCAAATAATTTTGGATATAATTTCGATAACCAGTAAAGTTAATTTCGGCAACTATGAAAAACCGTTTCGGCACTTCGGATTCAGTGATCATTTATTAATATTAAAAGAGGCAATTTCGGCTAACACGCTTAACATACACCTATGCCTACTACGGCTACAATACACGCTAATTCTTTTTTTCCCCATTTCTTCATTATCGTTTCAAAAAAATTTATACATATGCAAACACACACATACGCATATACGAATATGCAAAAATTAAAACTTACAAAAATTTTAAC